AAACTTTTGCATTCAAGCAAAAAGTTACATTGTGTTGAAGGCTTGATTGCCAGATGATGAGACTTTGGAAAGCAGTTGATTCATGAGGGCTCTGACTTCATCTTAATCCATCCGTTGATATATTTTAATTTGAGGACATATTGGGAGATGATGGAAATTTAGGAGGTGGGGTCTAGCTGGATTAAGCAGGCACTGGAAGTGTGGTTTTCAAGACTCTATCTCATCCCTGGCTCCTTCTTCTCTGGCTCTGTCTTTCTGCTTCTTGGCTGCATGAGATGAGTAGATTTCCCCAGCTATACCTTCTTTGCCATAATGTTGTACCTCAACACAAACTCAAAAACAATATCCAACAGACTATGAGCCAAAACCTCTGAAATCATGACCCAAAATGAACTTATATATACACCTTAAATTAATAATCCCAAAAATTTATGTTAAAGATCACCTTGCTTAAATATGTTTCCATGGAAGGTGTGCCAGGGTAAGGCTCCTTTTCTCTAAATGGTCTTCCTCCAATTGTTATTTCAGGGAACCCCCCCCCCAAGATCCTCCTTTATGTTTTGTATTGGCTGCACCTATACTTTAGTACTTTACATTCCATAGAAGTAAAGATTACCCTGCTTCCGCATATGTCTTTATGATGATATCCAGGTACTACTTATCTTCAAGATGGGCACAGCTTGTCAACTGGAGTACATGGGGCCCTGGGTCCTCACAGCAGTGGCATGGAAAACACCCAAAAATAAAAGGAGGCTTGCTAATAGAAGTGTGGCATCCACTTCTATTATCAGGCCTTCTTTTATTTTTGGGTGTTTGAGATAGGATCTTGCTATGTAGTTCAGGCTAACCTTGAGCTCAATGTGTAGCCCAAGCTAGCTTCAAACTCATGGTGATCCTCCTATCTCAGCCTCCTGAGTGCTGAGATTACAGATGTCTGCTATGAGGCCCAGCAATGGACCTTCTTGACATGAAATGAAAATTAATAGATATTTGTAAATCAGAGGTCAAAGATTTCTACTTATTTGTATAGGGGATTTCTGGGAAAAATATTAATTTTCATTGAGACAGGAACTCACTATGTAGTTCAGACTGAACTTGAAATACATAGTGAGTTATTGCATGTAATCATGGCTTTATCCCTCAGGTGCCTCTGAATGAATTCAGTCTTAAAGTTCAAGGGCTCATTACACAAGCAAATGAGTAGAATTCAACTCAAACTGCTCAAAGGTTAGGGACAGTAAAAGTAGATTCCTTAATATTATCTGAGTTTTAAGTCCAATGGTAATTCAAAGGGAAATCCACTGAAACTAAAAGAAAAGACACTTGGAGGGCTTCCAAATCTCATGTAATAATTACAGGAAATTATTACATTTCATCTCAAGGAAGAATTTCTCATATTGTGATCTATAGACCAACTACACTAGAATCACCTACTTTAGTAATATATATTAATATATGTATATACATATGTATGCATGTACATAGAAATATAGCCCTCTATCCATGGCCTTCACATCAATGGATTCAACCAACTGCAGAAAGAAAGTGTTTGAAAAAATCATGTCTACACAACATATGCAGACTTATTCTTGTTATTCTCAAAGCAATTTGATTTAATTATTTACAATGTCTTGGATATTATAAGTAATCTGGAGGTTATTTAAATTATAGGGAAGGGTCTGAATAGGTTGTATATACAAATAAGAGATTTGTGTATCTTCAGGTTTGGATATCCATGAAGATATGGAGGGACAAC